ACTTTTGTACTCTGTGGGAGAAGGCGAGGGTGGGATGTTTCGAGAGATCAGCATCAAAACATGCATAATATCTAGGGTGAAACAGATCACCAGCCCAGGCTGGATGCATGAGACAAGTGCTCAGGCCTGGTGAACTGGGAAGACCCAGACGAATCAGGTGGAGAGGGAGGTGGGAGGGGGCATTGGGATGGGGAATACATGTAAATCCATGGCTGATTCATGTCAATGTATGACAAAAACCACTACAATATTGTAAAGTAATTAGCCTCCAACTAATAAAAATAAATGGGAAAAAGAAAAAAAACACTGATGAAAGAAATCAAAGAGAACACAAACAGATGGAGAAATATACCGTGTTCATGGATTGGAAGAATCAATATTGTGAAAATGAGTATACTACCCAAAGCAATCTATAGATTCAACGCATGCCTATCAAGCTACTAACGGTATTTTTCACAGAACTAGAACAAATAATTTCACAATTTGTATGGAAATACAAAACCTTTAATAGCCAAAGCAATCTTGAGAAAGAAGAATGGAACTGGAGGAATCAACCTGCCTGAATTCAGACTATACTACAAAGCCACAGTCATCATACAGTATGGTACTGGCACAAAGACAGAAATACAGATCAATGGAACAGAATAGAAAGCCCAGAGATAAATCCACATACCTATGGACACCTTATCTTCGACAAAGGAGGCAAGAATATACAATGGAAAAAAAGACAACCTCTTTAACAAGTGGTGCTGGGAAAACTGGTCAACCACTTGTAAAAGAATGAAACTAGAACACTTTCTAACACCATACATAAAAATAAACTCAAAATGGATTAAAGATCTAAATGTAAGACCAGAAACTATAAAACTAAAGAACACAGGCAAAACACTGAGATAAACCACAGCAAGATCCTCTATGACCCACCTCCCAGAGTATTGGAAATAAAAGCAAAAATAAACAAATGGGACCTAATTAAACTTAAAAGCTTTTGCACAACAAAGGAAACTATAAGCAAGGTGAAAAGACAGCCCTCAGATTGGGAGAAAATAATAGCAAACGAAGCAACAGACAAAGAATTAATCTCAAAAATATACAAGCAGCTCCTGCAGCTCAATTCCAGAAAAATAAATGACCCAATCAAAAAATGGGCCAAGAACTAAACAGACATTTCTCCAAAGAAGACATACAGATGGCTAACAAACACATGAAAAGATGCTCAACATCACTCATTATTAGAGAAATGCAAATCAAAACCACAATGAGGTACCATTACACACCAGTCAGGATGGCTGCTATCCAAAAGTCTACAAGCAATAAATGCTGGAGAGGGTGTGGAGAAAAGGGAAACCTCTTACACTGTTGGTGGGAATACAAACTAATACAGCCACTATGGAGAACTGTGGAGATTCCTTAAAAAAGTGGAAATAGAACTGCCATATGACCCAGCAATCCCACTCCTGGGCATACACAATGAGGAAACCAGAACTGAAAGAGACATGGGTACCCCAATGTTCATTGCAGCACTGTTTATAACAGCCAGGACATGGAAGCAACCTAGATGCCCATCAGCAGATGAATGGATAAGGAAGCTGTGGTACATATACGCAATGGAATATTACTCAGCCATTAAAAAGAATACATTTGAATCAGTTCTAATGAGGTCGATGAAACTGGAGCCCATTATACAGAGTGAAGTAAGCCAGAAAGAAAAACACCAATACAGGATACTAACGCATATATATGGAATTTAGAAAGATGGTAACGATAACCCTATATGCAAGACAGAAAAAGAGTCACAGATGTATACAATGGACTTTTGTACTCTGTGGGAAAAGGCGAGGGTGGGATGATTTGAGAGTAGCATTGAAACATGTATATTATCAATTGTGAAACAGATCGCCAGGCCAGGTTTGATGCATGAGACAAGTGCTCAGGGCAGGGGCACTAGGATGACCCAGAGAGATGGGATGGGGAGGGAGGTGGGGAGGGGGGTTCAGGATGGGGAACACATGTAAATCCATGGCTTGTTCATATCAATGTATGGCAAAAACCACTACAATATTGTAAAGTAATTAGCCTCCAACTAATATAAATAAAAGAAAAAAACAGAGCAAACAGGAAGGTAAATACAAAACAAAAAAAAGACACTTCTTGTCCTAAATCAGACAGAAAAAGACAAATACTGTATGATCTCACTTATGTGTGGAATCTAGAAGAGCTGAACTCATAGAAACAGAGAGTAATATTATTAGATTAGTGGTTTTCAGGGGTGGGGGGGTAGGGGAAATAGGGAGATATTGGTCGAATGGTACAAACTTTCAGTTAAAGAATGAGTAAGTTCTGGAGATCTGTGTGCTGTGCTGTGATAAGTCGTTTCAGTCACGTCCAACTCTGTGACCCCATGGACTGTAGCCCACAAGGTTCCTCTGTCCATGGGATTCTCCAGGCAAGAATACTGGAGTGGGCTGCCATGCCTTTCTCCAGGGGGTCTTCTGGAGCGTTAATGTATAGCATTATAACTACAGTTAACAAGATTGTATTATAGTCTCAAAAGTTCCTAACTGAAACAGCTTGAATGTTACCACCACCACCAACAAAACAAAGGCTTCTATGTGACGTGATAGATGTATTAACTAACCTTACTATGGTAATCATTTCATAAGATATACATATATCAAATCATCATGTTATACAACATAAACTTATACAATGTTATTTGTCAATTATATCTCAAATAAAGGTGGGGGGAGAAAAGACACTTCTCCCTATGGTCATAAAAAATTCCTTCTTTGTAACTTAAAACTTCCCTAACTTGTTTTGTACATTTAGATCTTCAAACCATCTGTAATTTATATACAGCAAATTATAAATCTTTATTCCCAAATAACCATGTTTCAACCCCATTTGCTGAATATAAATTCCTTTCTATACCAATTGACAAAGTTATTTTTGTTATGAACTAAATTTCCAATAAACACATGGTCAGCTTCTAGCACTCTGACATTCTGCAAATCTATTTGCTCATCCCTAAAGCAATACTTTGCCAACAAAGGTCCGTATAGTCAAAGCTATGGTTTTTCCAGTAGTCATGTATGGATGTGAGAGTTGGACCATAAAGAAGGCTGAATGCTGACGAATTGATGCTTTCAAATTGTGGTGCTGGAGAAGACTCTTCAGAGTCCCCTGGACAGCAAGGAGATCCAACCAGTCAATTCTAAAGGAAATCAACCCTGAATATTCACTGGAAGGACTGATATCAAAGCTGAAGCTCCAATACTCTGACTACCTGATGCGAAGAGCCAACTCATTGGAAAAGACCCTGATGCTGGAAAAGACAGGGCAAGAGAAGAAGAAAGCGACAGAGGATGAGATGGTTAGATGGCATCACTAACTCAATGCACATGAGTCTGGGCAAATTTAGGGAGATAGTGAAGGACGGGGAAGCCTGGCGTGCTGCAGTTCGTGGGGCTGCAGAGAGTCGGACATGACTTGGTGACTGAACAACAACAACAAAGCAATACTATACCACTTTAATTACTATAGCCTTAACATATGCTGTTGTCTGCAGGTGCTAAATCACTGGTAAAAATAATTTTTGGCTATTCTTGCACTTTCTTTGATTCTAAAACTCTTATCTGCAGGTTTATAAAGACCTCCATTAAGATTTCTATTAGAATTTCACAAATTTATAAATAAGTTAGGAGATACTGCCTTATTTCTGTTGGGTCTACTGCTAAAATGCCAGCTCTAAGTGAGCCCTTCCCTTGACCATCCTATATGAGGCTAGCACTCTCTATTTTCCTTAGATTTTTTTTAGAGCATATTACCATCTGACATATTGTATAATCTATTTTTTTCTGGTTTCCTTTTCACCACCCCCCCGACTTACCCTTTAATAAAGTGCCAGAAAAGGGGGGACCTTCATTTGTTCACAGCTCTATCTGCAACTCACATAACATATAGAGTGAACTTTCAAATATTTATAGAGTAAATGGATCTTCAGAAGTGAATACTCCAAACCAGGAATGTAGTATTTGTTTGTAAGGTCTTCTTTTTGCCTTTCAAGGAAGTTTTACGGTTTTCTTTACATGGGCCTTATACTTTCAGTTTTACTTGGAAATATTTTATACTTGGATATTCTTTAGAGTAAAACTATTTTTCCATTTTTGATGTAATGCTATGATTTGTATATGTTGCTCTTGCCACATTTATAAATCCAGCCACCTTTATCTGGTTAAGAAAGATTCCTTCTTTTTCTATCTTAGTATGCTTCAGAAGGAAGCACAAGCTAGTCTTTGAGTGTACTTTTCATAATTCTAAGGGTACTTTGCAAGACCCCATGCTATATATGTTATTCTGACGTAGGGCTGAAATAAGAGACACTGGAATGAGACTGTTTTCTTTATTTTGCAGCCAAAGCCACTAAATTTTCTTCTAAGAGAAGACAGTTCTTACCAGGATATGTAACAGTGTTCTAAAACTGCAGGTAGCAACCTAAAGGTAGATCACGGCCGTCATTTAAAAAGTGAATCTGACGATTATTAGCACCTATCATACAGATTAAGGTAAGTACTGGTTTATGATATTTCTGTTGTATATAAATGTGATAAGAAAAATGTAGAGTCAGTTAAAAAAAACAAACCTGCAAATACAATGCAATAGGAGATGTACTAAGAAGAGAAACTTAGCAAGGATGGGAGGAGAAAGTAAACAGGAAGATGAGAAAAAGGAAGGAAGTGATAGCAAGAAAGTTCTAAGACGTATCATGTACGTTTGAGTCAGCAAAGGCCTCCGTGGGCCACTGAAGTAGACAAGAGAAGGAAGAGTTCTAAGGAAAAACTACATACTTCCCCTTCTCCTAGGAAATGAAATGAAACTGAACTATTTGGGGGGGGAAAAATTGCTTTTACTCATTTTATTCAAGATTATTTTCCTGAGAGGTCTTAAACATTAAAATTTGGAATGTTTTGCTTTAAAGTAACATTACAAATAATTCTTACCTTGCTCTCTCTTTCTAGTTCACTTCGCAGCCATTCAAAGTCACTGTATCTTCTTCTAACGGTAGATTCCTTCAGCTTGAAAATAGGCAGATTTGTCTGAAACAAAAAAAAAAAAAATCACTTCTAAACTGAAGCATATTATAGGGATTTCAAACAGCTGGGGGTAGGGCAGAATCTATTGTCAAAGTGATAAAATGACAAGCCCAGTTACCTTAAGATAAGAAAATCATAAAAGTTATTAAGATGACATTTTACCTTTAATAAAGCTTAGCTGTTAAAAAGTATGTTACATATATCAGAATACAATTTTTTAAATGCACATTTGTACATATGCTTTTGGATGTCATTCTTTCTGAGGTCAGTTACATAAATACAGGTCATTTTTTCTATTTTCAGTAAGTGGTAAAAATGTCATAGGAGTGAGATGAAGCCAGCTCTGACTGCTATACAGTTTAGTATACAATGCTTATAGGGAAAACAGAGCTTTACTAGCTTGAAATGAAATACAAAATATTTTGTTATTATGACTAGAAGTTTCATAATGAAAGAAAAGAATAAAGGACGATTACTCTTAATGGTCTTCTTAAAAAAGCCAAAAAACAGCAGGGAGAGAGTGCAATGTGCTCTTACTGTCAACAGGAAATCAGGAGTCATATACATAAGGTCCAGAGCTTTCAGACTGAGGGCAACTTTAGTAACTGAAAACATAATGCCCAGTACTTTAAGGTACATCAGAATGGAAGACTGTTCTTTACAAGAAAGACCACTTCTGTCAAATTCTAAACTTAAAGAATCAAGAATAGATTTTAAATGCACGTATCACAAAAGTTGGTGCAAATAACCTAACATAATTAATGTCATAATATACTGAAAATGCTATTTAATACTATACACTCTCAGATTATATTTTGTTCTTTATCCAGTCTTTGCACTTGTAGAACCGCAAACTGTATTAAAAGTTGGAAAGAAAAAGTGCCACCGGAAGGAAAGATTGACTTCTTAACAGAGACATCATCATCATCATGTAAAATTCCCCTTAAGAAAATTCCAATCACTTGTTAAACTTAATGCCCTAGTAAGTGTCATTTAGTAAAAGAAAAGCTTTTTATTCAGGACCTTAAACCTGTTTTGTAGTGGTTTCAATTTTTTCCAACATGTATTAACTTCTCTATGTTGTACACCTTATAGCTTGGAATCTTCTACAGATGCTATTGGGCATAACACTGTATAGATTTCAAGCATGAAACCAAATGTCACAAGAGGTTTAAAAGCACTTGAATTTTCTTTCCCAGGTAACCACAACATTTGTTCATTGTATTAATGACTAAGAGCAAAATTGCACCTAACAAGACTCTTATTATACTAAAAGTCAAGCTTATATTTAGAGATGCTGGCTTGCTGTACAAGAGGGGTATTCTCATTACCCACAGGGAATAAAATTAGGTCCCCTGGAGAGCAAGATGGTAATTCCCAGAAAGAAAGCACTGGATTATTTCTCTCTAATTTCATCCATTGGCTTTTTAACCAAGTTCACCCTTCCACACTAAAATATTAAGTCTTTGTAAGTGTCTAAAGATAGAAAGGCCTTCACAGAATAGAGTGTTTTCTGCAGGTGAGATTTTACATTTTGAATTCCCTCCTCTCAAATTACCTTACAAAAGGGATTAGCTGCTCTCTTTATTCAGTATGTTAAGATCAAGCTTGTGAAAAGAGTTCCCTAAGAATTTTCATACTTCTGGGTACGGAAGTCTATAAAGTTAATCTCTGAAACAACATATCAAGCTTACAGGTACAATGCTGAGGGAAGAATGCCAATTCAGCTCATTTTACCTCCATTTTCCCTTTTGAACTTTTGACACAATCATGATTATATCTGATTCACTTTAATAGATGGGTAGTAGGAAGGAGAAAAAGTCCACTCCTTTCTATGACTAGGTAACAGATTGAAGATCATATATTAAAAAAGAATCATGGTTAGTTTAAGAAAATGTCATAGTTTTCTCAGCTGGCTATTTTTCTTTATATGAAGACTGCTTTAGAGTTTTGATAAAGTCATATCAAGTAATTTTATTATTTGCCTACTACATTTAGAGTGGTAAGTGTGCCTGTTAACTTCTCCTTGATCATCACCAGGACTTTCAATTCAAACTGATCAGCATACAAATAAAAGATGCTGAGGTTTTTTTGTTTAAGCCACTGAACTATCACTTTAATTACAAACACTCAGGATTGGTAACTTTCAACTTATTTAGCCCTTATAAAATATTGTATTTTAGTTTTTCTAAAGAGAAAAGAGTAAGAGTAATGTTTTTCTCCTACAGTTCTGGAAGGATTCAACTATTATTACAGTTTAAGAACATCTACAAAAGGGCATAGTGCTAGATAAGATGGGGAATATAATGATGAGTAAGATGCAGTCTTGGCCCTTATGAAACTTATATTTGGTTATAAGCAAATAGTATAAAAATACTATACATCATCAACAAAAACAAAGTTGAAAGACCACAAATTGTAGACAAATATCTGCAATATAAAACAAAGAGATAATTTCATTAAAATGTAAAGAACTCAAAAACTAGTAAAAGATAAAGATGAGTAAATTGACAGACAGAAAAACTACGTTAATAACGTTCAGCTTCACTCACACAAGAAATGACAGTCAAAACAGTAAGATCCCATTTTCATTTATCAGACAGGCAGGTATTCAAGTTTAATATCCAGTGATGGTGAAGATAGATAGGCATCTAAAAAACTTACTGCTAATAGTGAAAACAACCTTAAAGAAGGGCGTTTTGGTGACATCCATCACTCTTTTAAATGCATATTATCTTTTGAGCCAAAGATTCAACCAAGAATTATCCTATGAATATTTCCACATATGCAAAAAGGTATCAGTGCACAGAAATTCACTTGAACATCATTTATATAATAGCAAAAAAAAAAAAAAAAATCCCAGAAACTGAAAATCTTATTAAACTGCTACAAATATAAAATGAAATATTATATGCTTTTACAAAATGTAACTCAGCCAAAGACTGATCAGGAAGGTTCCCTGAGATGTGTTAAGTATAGGAAGTTTCAGAACAGCATCTATATGATACCATTTGTATAATTTTTTTTAAAAGCATAAAGGAACTGATAACTGATTCGGTCAGTATTCTTTTAACATATGGAGTCAGTCATACTACAGGAAGACAGTTGAAAACAATGAAATACCATGAACTACATGCAGAGAAGAAAACAGTGTATTCAGGAAGTAATTCTTGAACATGCTAAACCATAGGAGATGGTCGGAAATAAAGCTGAAAGCCTGAATATCTGACTAACGTATCTCCCTGTGAGCACCAGGAGTTAATAGACATCTCTGAACAGGAATATATCTTTAAAAAAAAAATAACAGAGAAGTTACTATGAATTCAACAGATTAGCCACATACACACCAAAGAGCAGCATGGAAAGCTGGCTCATCCTTATTACACACAAGAGCATTATTTATTCATTTTCAGTAACCATGTATGATGCTAGATATTAACTAGACTTATTTTTACAATGTATACAAATATCAAATCATCATGGTGTACACCTGAAATTAATATGTCAATTATTCCTTAGAAAGAAAAAGGGCTGGTTCTAGTTAGTTTTATCTGCTTGAAGAGTATGGGGAAGAGACAGGCTGAGGCAAGTTATAGCAAAAATTCTTTAAAGTTTTTCTTTTGGATATCATTTAAAATGCTTCTGATTTATCCAGAGAGAAATAAGGCTGAATTCTGAAATTAAATGTAAATCAGACTTAACAATGTGAAGATGACTAAAACTTTTGAAACTTAAAAGGCAAGATTTAGTATGTTCTCATCCTTACATTCAAATTTTATTTTTAAAAAAGTTGCTCTAGTTTCTCAAGCTGAGCATAAACTAGAAACTACTATTTTCCTCCATCTATAGGTCATTTTACCTAACAGGTGAAAGTGTCAAACTCATCCATTTGTATGAAATAACAGCATTTGAGGAACACTGACCTCAGACAGGCAAAACTAAAGCCAATCATTAGGCAAAAACCATAAACTAAGCCACACCTGGCAGCTATTTCTGTAGGTATGTGATATTAGTGAACGCTCAAAATGAGTTTGAGTAACCTTGGTCTATTTTAGACTTTTCAATTCCATTCATGGAGTTATGAATGTCTGGCAAAGCAAAGACAGAGGTACCTATAAACATTTACATTAACCATTGTCATATATATAAGAAACTGCAAATTAAAAATAATTTAAACCTATGTCAGGGCTGTGGCCGAAACTAACATTTAAAAAGCAGAAAATTATAATCATTTGCCCCCCAAAAAGTTAAATTGGCTGCTTGGAATCTATAAAGTCTATAAAAACTATTTTATTCTACATTCAAAATATACTTCTGTTAATCATTATAAGCCAAATCCTAGTTAAATGTCACCAGTATTTAATAACATTTTTGGGGAAAACTGTAACACAGTTGTAACTGTGTTTTAACTGTAACTATGTCTGGGTGCTCAATCACTGAGTCGTGTCCAACTCATTCGCAACCCCAGGGAATATAGCACACCAGGCTGCTCTGTCCATGGGATTCCCCAGGCAAGAATACTAAACAGGGTTGCCATTTCCATCTCCAGGGGATCTTCCCAACCCAGGGATTGAACCTACATCTCCTGTGTCTCCTGCACTGCACGTGGATACTTTACCACTGAGCCACCTGGAAAGCCCTAACTATAACACAGTTTTAACTATATGTACAACATACTGATTCAAGATTTTTTAGGTATTATACCCCATTTAAAGTCATTATAAAATACTGGCTATATTCCTTGTGCTATACAATATATCCCTGTAGCTTATTTATACTATATATGCCTTGTTATCTCCTTAAGTCTTCTTCAATCTAGAGCAATCCTCCTGTCCTTTCGCCATTTAAGACAGTGACAATTTTAAAGAGTGCAGGCCAGATATTTGAGAGAGATTATATCCCTTAGTTTGTCCTTTTCCTCATGACCAGTTCCATGCCGTTCATCTTTGTCAGGAATGTTCCTATCGGCAGGAATACCGAAGCCTTCTCAGTACCCCACATCA